GTTATGAAAACTAGACTAATATACATGAGACAGAAAGAACCACCTCCTAGAGTTATTGATAAAAGCTTACTAGTATAGATGGTAACTGTGATAGGAATTCAGAAGAGGGGAGAGGTCACTGTGGCCCAGGGTAGTTTGGGAAGGCTTTCTAGAAGAGCTAAGGTTTTGCCCAAGTCCTGACTATATTTCAGTTCAATCTCATAGCTTTTATTAAAACACCTGTTACTTTATGTGAAAGGTATCGGGCTGGGTGCTGGGGATAGATGCGGACAAAAACAAAACACCGCAAACCCTACTAGTGTCTGCATTCAGAGAGCTTACTTGTAGGGAAAGGATGTAACATTTACACAGATAATTATGTGCGAGTCACTTAAGAAGGGACTTAAGGGTAGTTTGGGGGACTGTGAAGACACTAATATGACTGGAATGAAAAGAGTAATGGTAGATAAGGCTGAAAAGGAACCTGGGATCGTATTTGGAAGCCTTGAGAGTCAACATAAAAGATGTGGATTTTATGCGGTTGTGCTATTGGGAGTGTTACTTAACTGTATGTGAGGGGAATGTACTTTGGGGAGGTGTTTGGGAAGTACCTATTGTATCAAAACAAAATGTTGCCATTTTTAAAAAAAGAGAATATAGTTTTGTGAGGGGAGTGACATGAGGACAATGACTTTTATGGCCCTGCATTAACTTGCACTTTTCAGGAGGGAGAGGAGGAAACTGGGTCTCTGAAAGCCCTCCCCAATAGCCTGATATCCTGGTAATATGTTCTATGAAGATGTTCCACCTTGCATTAGCCCATTGAATTCATTTGATTCTGGCTTCACTTTGTCTGGAGCCTCCATCTCTACTGACCAGCATGGCCTTTCCTTGTCATGAAATCTAACACCAAAAGGTGGAATGAAACTGGGGGTTAGCAGAGAAAACCTTTGGAGGGCTGAGGATCTATCACCATATAAGTAATTCAATAGAAACTCAGTCAGGCTTCCCATTATCAGCCATTCTAATTCTCCCCCTAACCAGAGGGGAGTTTCCCCCCACCTGTCAGGAATTTGGCAGAAAGATCACCCCCTCTGTTTGTACGCAGTAGAATCAAGGACTTACTGCATCTGAGCATGCATATATCAGTTGACAAACATCACACCCCTTGGAACCTGCTTCCTGCTGGCAAGCCAGAATGTCACTTCTGGACCAAAAACTCATCAGGATGCGAATGGGCATGTTGGCTGTACTTGGGATACAGGATTGTTATGACAGGCAGGGTATACTTCTGCCTATTCCGGACAACTCCTTGGGACCAACGGACTGGTTGCTGAAGGCAGAGAGAACCTCTGTAATGTGAGCTCTCACCTTGCAAGGGTTCTGTAAGAAGGGGAGGGGAAGGCAGAAATATTTTTTGGAGAAGATAGTTGGGTTAGAGAGTTAATTTGCTGAAATAAGTAAAATCAGTGTGCTGAGGGAATGTCTGGTCATTGAAAAGGACAGTCAGGCATAGGGCCAGAAGCCTGTGGGTTAAGCTGTACATTTGCTGTGTCTCCCGGGAGGGGAAGAATGAAGAAGTAGTGGCCTGAGCCCCTGGAAGTTCTGCCTGGTGACCCAGCCTTGTGGGAATTTGCTCAGCCGGCCGAGGGAGGTGGACCCCTCCTTTCTACAGGGATTCCCAGGGAAAGCTGAGTCAAAGCAGATTGCTTCACAGCCACTAAGAGAAGTTATTGTTTAAATAATATTTTCTTTCCTTTTTGCCCAGTTACATGTAAAGACAATTTTTAGACATTCATTAAAAAATTTTTTTGAGTTCCAAGTTTTCTCTCTCCCTCCCTCACGTCTCCCCTCCCTGAGAGAATAAGCAATTTAATAAAGGCTGTGTGCTACAGCTACCCAAAAATAATACTCAGAGATTTTTTAGGTATAAAGTGAAAGATTTATTACGTTCTCGCGAGAATCCGGTGTCTGCTTCACCCGGTGAGGCAAGGCACAAAGGCCAGGATGAAGGTTATATAGCCCTAACACAAAGATACCCACCCTCCACTGGCTTTGAATTCCCATTGGACAGGAATTTCAGCCTTACAATCTAAAACGTGAGAATCTACCCTAGAAACAAGGAATCTCATTATAATCCTAGCTATTTTATCCTTTTTAGCAATTAGCCATTACCTAATGCTGATGTAACAGTACAAATCATGTGTTTTCTAGGAACCTGAAACTTAGGCCTATTGAGGCTAGTGTAACCAACCTTGAGTTTGTAACAGTCTAGGAAATTGCTACACTCAGTCCATCTGAGAGATCTCACATTGTTTACATTGTTTCACTAAGTTAGAAAAACCAGAGTCTTGACAAAAGTTTGCAAAAGGAGAGATCTCTTCATTGACTTTCTCGAGAAAGTGCACCCCCATGCTGCCTCAGCTGCCCCGAGAGTTTGAGTGCTCTTTGTTCAAGGCAAGACGACATAGACCCCAACGTAGCAGCCCCCCCAACTCCCTTCCTGTCGGCTCATTGACTGAGCCTCAAGTATACAATCTATTTGTGTAAAAACTACCCCAGCAACAGAGAGAACAAAGAGGCATAGAAATTATGTTAGCACGTTCCCCTTTTCAGGGTCTCACAGTTTTAGCAGCCTTTTACCCAAGGTCATACAGCCAGCTAGAGGATGAGATAGACAGGATGCTCCCATGTCTCAGGAATTTCTGCTAACACTATCCAAGAGTAGGAGAGGGAGAAGGCTAGGGGAGGGGGTCTTGCATTCTGAGGGGTCTTCACTTAGTGTTAGTACATGTACCACTCAAAAGCAACAATACCAGAACCATTAACAAGAACTAATGACCCTTTGAGGAGGTTCACTTCTGAGAGATCATCTCTCACAAGGCTATGTATGTTCAATCATAAAAAACCTATTGCCACAAAACAGAAATTATTGTTACAGGTCCACTTTTCTCTCCCTCTCTAAGGCCTCGTTTTCCCTCTGATGTTCCACAGAACACAGGATTTTTTCTTCTTCTTAAGGCATTCAGCTAGGATGTCCCTGGTGGTGATAGAGATCACTGCTCTTGGATGGCCCCCGAGATCTCAGTTCATGGACAAAACTAAGCTGAGGTCAGTCCCTTGTGGTACAATGAGAGTCTGAGGTGGGATTCAAACTCACCCAGTGTCATGCAGCTAGTCAGTTTCCAAGGAGGGATTCAGACCTCAGGTGTTCTGACTTTAGGACCAGTGTTCTGTCTACCACATCATATGCCTTTGCAATACTTCTGAGAGATTACGCCCTAGGCCAATCCAAAACATCCTTTGGAGCAACTGTTGTAGGTTGTCATTCTCTTCCTGTCTTCCCATTATTCCCTTCTTCCCATCTCCTGGCTGAACTCTGGCCCCTCAAATTCTCACCCCTGCAAAAGGAAACCCAGAATTCCTGCACCATTCAGACCTTCAGGCCCACTTCCCCCCTTCCTAGGTCAGTAACCTGACACCTTACTTATGAAAGGTTAGAGAGCATCAGATTGCTTTGGCCCTTGTTTTATTTTATTCTGTTTTATTAATGAAGCTCAGACCCCCTCAGTAAGATGGAGAGCCACCAGGCATCACCATCTTCCCTGCCATGGCCTTACTGTCTGCCCTGCTGCTATGCCCACCAGACCTCCAGGCACTGCCGTCTTCTCTGCTGATGCAGCCTGAGGACCCCAGGTCTTGCCATTTGCCCTTTCACTGCACCCTTAGGACTTGTAGACCTTTCTATTCACCCTACAACAAAACCCTGCCATTTGTATTGTCCTCTTGTATCACCAATGCACAGGGATTGGCACATGGTCAGCACTTAAATGCTTTTTCATTCATTCATCATTCATTCATTCATTCATTCATTCATAGCACTCTCTCTCACAGCAATTCTATGAGGAAGATAGTGCCATCATCATCATTATTATTGCCATTTTACAGAGGACAAACTTAAGCTAAGATGGCTTGGCCAAGTTGGCAGAGCTGATGAGAAGTAGCATTGGTACTGAAACTTCCAGTCCATCTACACTCTAAACACTCTGAGACTGTGATCTGAGGCCTTAGAGAGGGAAAAATAGAGACCCTGAACAGTAACCCTTCTTCATTTTGGAGGTTCTGGGAGGGGTGAAGGGGAGGTAGTAGGAGAGAAAACAGATTTTTGTTCATTGAAAAAATAAAATAATTTCTTTTAAAAACTTAACAACAGGAAGCAGTAACCTTTCTTAAAGGCAATAACCTGGTTTGACTCTGCTTTCCCTAGAAGTCTCTGGTTTTTGTATTTGTGGTGGTGAAAGACACATTCCTGGCCAGGTCTATACAGCATGTCCCTAAATTTTTCATGAATTTTTAAACTTTATTAGCTTTAAAATGCACTAAGACTTTTAGGACTTTTCTGTATGTATATGTACATATATACATATAGCTCATATTTGTATATGTTCAGAATATCCCATGATACCCACATCCACATATGCACACACAGACACACACACACACCTCATATGTATGCCATATGTACATTATATACATATGTGTATGTATATAGCACACCCTTCATATACACCTCATATATACATGTCTCATATATTTGTATATTTAAATGTACACAATAGCCCCCTTTGAACCCAAGCCAGGCACCGTTCTGCGTATCACACGGACCTGAGATTTTTGTATCCCACAGACTGCGCCTAGCTTGGGTTCAAGTGGAATGTTTTACAACTTTGAGTCCAGAGCAGTCTGGTTTGGTTTTGCTGCCCTTTCCCTCCCTCTCTGCCACCTCCTTCCTGCAAAAAAATACCAAATCTTCGGTCATTTATCCCAAGCAAAGATCAGCAGCTGCCTTAGGAAAATATTTCTGTGCATTTTGAAAATCTATTTGGGAGGAGGCTCCCAAATAGAGAAAGGATAAACAAGCTTTAAAAATTCCAAAAGGGAAATGTGTTATTTGTTTTTTAAGTAAAAGAAGTTGAGATATAGTCTACTTCCTAAAGTGAAAGTTTCCAGCAGCTGTTGGGGGTTAGAGGGAATCTAGGGAGACTGGAAGCTTCCTGTCTGATTTCTTAGGAGAGCAGGGCGTGAGGGAAGAAAATGGGGCAGGGGGCTTCAGGGGAGAGAGAAGGTAGAGTTTGTGTCCTTGGATTTCATGAAGCACCCAGACAGCTACGAACAGAGGGCTTCCAAGCAAGGGTCCCAGTTGGTGTGGTTCAGTTCCACAGCTGTTTACAGGACTGGAAATAGCCCCAGCAGCTGGTATTTTCCCTCTAAATCAGGTGTATTCTTTCCCGTGTCCTGCTGGGAGCTAGAATTAGTTAAACAAACACAAAACGTAGGAGTAGCAATAGGGGGGTGTGGTGGAGAGCTGTCAACAGGAAGCCTCGTGGATGGAGAAAGATGTAGCCAGGAAGGGCCAGACCCAGATAAGGAAAGCTAAGGAAACCATTCTACATTAGCTTTGTTGAGATCTCTTCTTCCTCCTCCTCCCCCTGTTGTTGCAGATTCACATTTAGCCATAAGGGACAGACTTTAAAACAAACAAACAGGAAGTGTGCAAAGCATTTCTTGGTCCCTGTTTGACTGTAAAATTGAGCAGAAATAACATTAGTTTGTGTTCACGAAGCACTTTCCTCATAACCGCATCAAGTGGATTGTGTAACTCCTGCCATCCCATTTTAGAGATGAAGAAACTGAGGGTTAGAATCAGTAACTGACTTGTCAGTATCATGGCTAGTATGAGGTAGAGTTGGGACTCAAGCCCAGGGCCTGTCTCTATATCCTTATTGGCTTGCTTTTTTTTTTTTCTTCTCAGTCTTACCATCTGTCAAGGAGGACAATGAGGTGTTGAGAGCCCTTCCTGTTTACTTCAGGAGACTCACGTCTAAGTGTGAAAAACCACTGAAGTGCAGTGGCAGGAAGACAGAATGTCAGTGCTCCATACAGGAAACCTCAGGACCTTTGCCCCTAGACCAGTGCTCTTCCTACTGAGCAGGGCTGAGTCACTAAGTGACTTGTCTGTTTACCAGATGCAGAATTTGAACCCAGGATCACAGAATCATAGATTTAGAGCTGGAAGCAAGCGACTGACCCTTATTGAGTGCCTACCATGTCCCAGGCACTGTGCTAGGCTCCGGAGACAGAAGGATGAAAATGAAAAACTCTTTGCCTTCAGAGAATATGAATTCGATCAGGGGAGGCAAACCATACATACATTAAAATATACATACGAGCTAAATTTTGGGGAAAGGGGTCTTTTAGTTCAGTCTCCTCATTTGGAGGCCAAGACTCAGGTGGACCTGAGCTCAAATACTTGTAACTGGTGACTACAGGCAAATCACGTCACCGCCGTCTGCCTCAATTTCCTCATCTGAAAAATGGGGATATGAATAGCACCAACCTCCCGCAGTTGCTGTGAGGATCAAATGAGATAATATTTGTAAAGTGCTTTGTTTAAGTCACTATAAAAATGCTAGCTGTTATTATATATGAACAAACTGACGCTCACAGAGGTTTGGTGACTTGCCCGGAATCACCCAAATATCTAACAAGGAATTTGAGCCCCGGCCTTCCTGATTCCAAGTCCAGTGCCCTGTCTACCAAGGTGGTGTTCTTCCTGACACCAAGGCTGGCCCTTTTTCAATTATGTCATGCTTCTTCTTGGCCTTAAACATTTGTTGTTGTTGTCCAGTTATGTCCAACTGTATATGACCTTATGGCCTTTGTCCATGGGGTTTTCTTGACCAAGATATTGGAATGGTTTGCCATTTTCTTCTCTAGTGTGTCACCATTTTACAGATGAGGAACTGAGACAAATAGGGGTTAAATGACTTGCCCAGAGTCACACAGCTTAGTAAGTGTCTGAAGCCGGATTTGAACTCAAGTTCTCTTGACTCCAGGTCCAGTACTCTCTATCCACTATGCCATCTAGCTACCCCCGGCTTTAAATATAGCAAGCTCTTAATAGATGCTTGTCTGATTGAATCATGTGGTCTCCATGTCTAGCTTTGATTCCATTATACTCTACAGCTCCATGACCTGATAGCCACTTAGAGTCAGAATGGGACCTAGAGACCCCCGGTCTGCCCAGTCTCTTGTTATCCCCAGCAGTCAGGTAGAGCCCAGGGCTTGGCATATTTATGCTGTGTTGGGCCTGTTTTGAGTTCACAGAAGATGTTTAAGGATATAAAAACAAGCTAGGATTTTTTTTCTGTTTCAGTAGCTTAAAAAAGAACACAAAACCCTTAACTAAAAACACAAACCAGAGCCTTAATTACCATCTTTTCCCCCCTTTTGTTCTGTAGCCAGAGAACATTATGCTGCTGGATAAGAATATTCCCATTCCACACATCAAGTTGATCGACTTTGGCCTGGCTCATGAAATTGAAGATGGAGTAGAGTTTAAGAACATTTTTGGGACCCCAGAATTTGTAGGTAAGTTTAGTTTCTGTGGCTTGACAGAGGGTAAGAGTCAAGCAGGAAAAAAAAAGCTCTACTCTTGAGCTAAGGTTATGACCTCTCAAAAGCATCCTTTCCCTCCTCCGTTGTGCACCACCCAGGTGGCATGCTCATGAGTGGTGTCCCCTTAGGGCACGTGTGCCTGGAGTTGGGGTGGGTTTGGGGAAAAAAATAAAGGCCTTTCTAGGTTTCTGCTTGGAGAACTAAACTTTGTTGCATTAGGGAACAAGAGCTGGAAGGGATGAACACAGAAGTAGGGTGAGGTTTCCTCCCTTTCCCATGATGCTTCCACCACCCCTGAATTGTAGGTCTCTAGCTAACTGTCCTTAGCTTCTCTGAAGAGAAGTTTTTCTCTTCCTCCTTCCCCCCCAGCCCTTATTCTCACTGGGGCTTATTTTCCAGATTTAAAGTAGCCTCACCCTCCTGAATTCCAGTAAACTCAGCCTTCTGGAATAGCTTTTGATCTACTAAAAGAAAAAAAAAAACAACCCAACCATCTACCAGATGCCAGATCCACCCACTCACCTACTTACCTCCCATTTCTTTATTCCCATTCCTTTATTCAGGCAAAGGGAGAATTGAGCTGGTGGGAGGACTCTGTAGCCTTCTTTTTTCTGGTACATGCCTTATCCCTCTCCCCTGGAGAACAAGCCATCTGCATCCAAAGCCACCTCCGGAATCTCCCTCTGCTCCAGATACAGGGCAGAAATTTTGAAGTTACAATGTGCTTTTCAATAGATTTTCTCATGTGAGATTCACAATAGCCATGTGGGCAAGTACCACACATATCATTATTCCTGTTTTTTAAAGATAGGGAGTCTCAGGGGATGAAAGTGATTTGTCCATGTTCACATGAATATTACACCACTCGAACCCAGGCCTTCTGACTCCAAGATCAGTGCTATTAAGGTGAGAAATGAAAAGGAAGTTCAATGAGAAAGGAGGATTCACAAGAAGCCTGTACAGGACAAAACACACAAGTTGAGGGTCGTTTACTTTCTCTTTGGGGTGTTAGATTTAGCCTCCTCGGAAACCTTGGCCGGGAGAAAAAGGGAGGAGGGGAGGACTGACCATAGACTTACAGTGAAAGAGGACGGAATGTTCTAGACAGTCCACTGGGGTGGATAGCAAGATTGAGTTTTTTACCCCCTGGTCAGTACAAAGAGCTAATATTGTACACCTGCTATGAACAAAGCATAGTGCTAGGTTCTGTGAAAGATACAAAGGGGTCTCAAAGGGGTTTCAAAGGGAGCCGGTATGTCTTTGTATCTTATAGGTGCTTGTCGATTGATTGATAAGAGGGTCAGCACTTGGGGGGTGGGGCTCAGAGACCGCTCAGGCGGCATACTCATGGTATATCTTCTGAATCTGGCAATGAGGCATTAGCCAATGGTTAATTTAGCTGAGCACCTACTATATACCAGGTACTTTGTTAGTCACTGGGGATACAAGTACAAAGAATGAAATGGCCTCTGCTTATAAGGTGCTGTTGTTCAGTCATGTCAGATTCTTCCTGAGTCTGTGGGCCATATCATGGCAATATTGTCCATGGAATTTTCTTGGCAAAGATACTGGAATGGTTTGCCATTTGCTTTCTCCAGTGGGATTAAGGCAAATGGAGGTTAAGTGACTTGCCCAGAATCTCTCAGCTAGTAATTATTTGAGGTTGGATTTGAACTCAGGTCTTCCTGACTCCAGGACCCATAGCCACTCAACCACTGAGCTGCCTTCTATTTATAAGATGCTTATAATAACAAGGGAAGACAATGAGTAGCTATATAAATCTATACAGAATAAATGCAACGTAGTTCAATTCAGGGTAGTTTGGTTTGAGAGGTAGGGTACTAGCCGTTGAGGGTACTAAAGAAGGCTTCAGGTACAAGATGGTGCTTGAGCTGCCCATTGAAGAAAAAGACTAATTCTGTGAGGCAGAGGTAATGAGGGAGACATTGGAAGCAAGCGTGGGAGCCAGCCCATACAAAGGGAGATGGTGAGTCACTCGGGAAGAAAAGAGAAAGCCAGGATTTGTCTGGTTCACAGAACAGAAAGGAGGTCTTTTTTCTGTCTCCTCTCGAGTTCATCCAGTTCTTCCCACTCACTCAGAAGAGAACTGCTTGACAAATGTTGGTTGCATGGATTGAGTTGCATAGGGGCCCTTGAGAAGTTTATAATCGAATTGGAAAGACAGGCATAATTTTGTGAGCAATTAAATAACAATAAAAGGATTAAATAGAATCCCAAGCCTGAGACTCTTATTGAGAGAGGTTAGCTGTTCAGGCTAGACTTGTATACACATGCAAAGATAGCTACCTATAGCTAGCAATCCGAGGCAGTGTGTGCCTCGGGCTTGGTATTCCCCCCACCCCATAGGCAATAAGGTTGTTAGGAGTTGGAAGGAAGGAGGAGATCCCTTTCACCTATCACAGGAAGGAGAAATGGAGAAGAGTGCAGGAGGCAATCCAAAGAGGAGAAACGGGGCAGCTAGGTGGCTGTAGTGGATAGAGCACCAGCCCTGGATTCAGGAGGACCTGTGTTGAAATCCGGCCTCAGACACATAACACTTACTAGCTGTGTGACCCTGGGCAAGTCACTTAACCCCATTGCCCAGCCAAAAAAAAAAAACAAACCAAAAACAAAGAGGAGAAACTATGTACAAAAACGTGAAAGTAGGAATTCAAGGGGTACAACAATTAGACTAGTCTGACCATTCAGAGCTGAGGATTCACATAGTAGGTGGTAGGATGAGATAACCTAAGTGGCCTTGTTGATAGAACACTGGACCTGGAGTCAGGAAGACCCGAGTTAAAATCCTGCCTAGACACTAGCTTAACAAGTCACTTTGAAGAGGTCTAGGACTTTTGGGGTGCTGGGACCCCAAGATCATGGTACCAGGCCCTGCGGAATGAATTCAACTCAAATCTTCTTCAGAGGAAAAGTTTATTAGTGATAAATCACATTGACCAGGTGATGCCTGTAAAGACGAGCGGGCGTGAGAGGTTCTCAGCCTTGTGGGCCTGAGATTCTCAGAATCTGAATGAGGGCCAAGGTGGATCCCAAATACTAAAGTAACTTTGGGTGGCCAGAGAAGGGGGTTGGGAAAAGGGTGTAGGTAAGAACTCGTAATTGGGGAGGTCAGAGAGATTGAAGGGACAATGGGAATAGACAATGGAGGGAACAGGAAGACAGAAGTTTGAAAGGCATCTGCACAAAACCAAGGTGGGGCCAGGACTTTCAAAAGGAGATAAGGGGAGTACATAAGGAACAGTTTGAGACCAGAGAAGGCCTTTCTGGGGCCTATAGACAAAAGGGAGCCAGATTCTTTTAGGATGAATCTGAATAAGATTAAAAGGTAAGGCTAAGGCTTTCAAGGGGAGATGAAGGTCTGAGGCCTGTGAGTCAGATTCCCTTTGGGGCAAAGGGCGAAGATCTTGGCTTGGGCCCGCCCCCATCAACTTGACCTCTCTCAACCTGTTTCTTCCTGGAGATAATAATAACTCCTACCTCCCCGAGTTGTTGTGACAATCAAATAAGATATTTATAAAGTACTTTGCAAACCTTAAATTGCTATATAAATGCTAGCTATTATTATTAAGGCCAGACTGTAGAAGCTCTATTTGTATAGTACTGATAAATGTATATATACCATTGCATACTATTGATAAATAATGTAGCTTTTCGGGACTCTTCTCTATCTCAATTCAATTTTGTTAACATTTTTTGAATTAATTGATTAGTGAGCACCTACTATATGCCAGGCACTGTGCTTGATGTTGAGAATGCAAAGATACAAAATAACTTAGTTTTTGTCCTCATGAGAGGAACTTTCTTTTGTAGTTTTTCAAACTGATTTTTTTGTTCTTGTTTTTTATATCACTTTCTAGTAACTAACACTCTCTCTCTCTCTCTCTCTCTCTCTCTCTCTCTCTCTCTCTCTCTCTCTCCCCCTTCCTCTCCCCTCTCTCTTTCTCCCTCTCTCCCTCCCTCCCTCTCTCTCTTCCTGTCCTTCTCCCTCTTTGTTCCTCTCTCTTCTCTCTTTCTCTCACTCTCAGAAACCTCTCTTATGTTAAAAAAACCAGTTAAACAAAAACCAACCAAACCACCTACCACATATGACAGCATGTACAGTATTCTGCACCCATAGTCTGTGCCTCTCTTATCGAGAGAAGAGAGACATGTTTCACCATCAGGCCTCTAAAACCAATATTACATCACAATATCGCACAAAATATAATCTGATATGTGATATGTTAGTGTTGTTTTCATTTGTTATTTTAGCTTTTATTTTAGACTGTTCTGATCTGCTTTCTTTGTTCTGTATCAGTTCAGACAAGTCTTTCAATGTTTCCCTGAATTCCTCAAGGGACTTATAATATAACAAAGAGGATAACACATATATACAAGTAAAGACAATATAAGGTAGAAGATAAAAGCAAAGATCCGGACAAAATGCTACAAAATGATATTTAAATGGAAAGAATAAAAACACAAAACTAAATTCTGTGAAATTATAATGATTGAGAAATTTTGGTCCTGGGAAGAATTGAGAAAATGCACCCTCCTGTGTTCTTTGTAGAGGTGGGGGAACTATGGGGTGGAATAGTAATTGATATGTTGGCTGGTTTTGCAGAACTGGTTTTTTTTTCTTTTTTAATTCTTTGTTATGAAGAGAGGGCAGGGTATCCATGGAAATAAAGGTGATATAGGAACAAAAGATATCAATGCCAATTTTAAAATATGAATATGAAGTGGGAGAGGTCATTTTTAAATGAATTGATGTTCTACCTTCACGGAAAAGGTGGCGTCTGAGAAGATTTTTAACTGTCAGAGGTAGAAGGAGTATATTCCAAGCTGAGGTCATCTAGGCCAGGAATTCTGGCTTTGGGTTTTTTTGTGGGTTGTTTTTTTTTTTTTTCGGTTGGGCAATGGAGGTTAAATGACTTACCCAGGGTCATACAGCTAGTAAGTTTTATGTGTCTGTGGTCGGATTTGAACTCAGGTCCTCCTGACTTCAGGGCCAGTGCTCTATTCACTGAGCCACCTACCTGCCCCTAGGCCAGGAATTCTTAACATCTCTTGTGTCATGTCCCCTTGGATGGTCGGTCCACTGGAACCTATGGGTTCCTTCTTAGAATTCTTGTTGTTTAGTCATCTCCAATTCTTTGTGACCTCATTTGGGATTTTCTTGGCAAAAATACTGTGGTGGTTTGCCATTTTCTTCTCCAGCTTGTTTCACAAATGACGAAACTGAGGCAAACAAGATCAAGTGACTTGCCCAGGGTCACACATCTAGTGTCTGTGGCCAGATTTGAACTAAGGTCTTCCTTATTTCAGCCTCAGCATTTATCCACTGCACCACCTAGCTGCCATCTATTTCTTAGAATACTGTTCTTAAATGCATAAAATGAAACTTATAGGATTACGAAAGAAACCCATTGTATTGAAATAAAAATGTCATTTTTTTCCCCATCCAAGTTCATGGACTCCTCAAGTTAAGAAACCCTGATCTAGTCTGATCTAACACCCTTATTTTAGAGATGAGACCCAGAGAGACTTATATAATTGCCCAAAGCTGCACAGCTTAGTTAAAGAGTTAAATCTAGTCGCTTCTCTAGTGGCAGCTCAGCATTCTAGCCCATGCCCTGATTGAGGCAGCTAAAAGAAGAAAAGTATTGGATGCAAGGCAGCTTTCATGTGGGAATTTATTCTTAACTCTTGACCCTGGGACCACAGTTGGAAGGAAAGCCCTTTGATCCAGAGGTGTGAATGGAAGTGATAACACACCCCAGGATTCTTTGCAAAAAGGAAGCCCTCCCTCTGACAGGGTAACCTTCTCTTTCCCCATCTCTCCCCCATCCCCTTTCCTCTCCCTTCCTGTTCTCCTCCACCACAGGCTCCATCCTCAGATAAGCCAATCAGCTGACAAGTATCTATTAAGTAACAACTGGGCTTGTGCCAGGATCTATGGAGAATACACATTTCAGATTAGTAGAAGGAAACCCTAACAATTAAAACTGACCAGAAATGAAATAGAATGTACCAGGGACAGGGAGTTCATGTTGTCCATCACTGTAGGTGTTTAAGCAGAGGCTGATGACCACTTATCAGGTATGTTGTAGGCCAGATTCATGATTAGGATAAGGATTGAATTAGATGAGCTATGAAGACTCTATTGTCTGAGATCTCACTAACATGGTCCCTGCCTTTATTGCAATCTGTCAAGGATCTATAACTTAGTAATGATAATAATAATAATAATAATAGCTTGTTTGCATGGCATTTTAAGATTTGTAAAGCTCTTGACGTATTATTTTCTTTGATCTTCACAACAATTCTGTGAAGCAGATGCTGTTATACCTATTTTGCAAATGATGAAACTGAGTCTTAGGGAGTTTAAATAATATGCCCAGGGTCACAAAGCTGGGATTCAAACCCATACCACCTCTCAGTTTCATTATTATAACTTTCTTCCCTAAGTCAGTCTCACCTTCTCCATAACTTAGTAGATGTGCTTTGAAAGTTGCTATGGAAAAAAAAATCACACTATGGCCAGTCTAGTGATGGAAGTCTCTCTAGTTCGTCAGTGAATTGGAAAGACAAGATACACATAACAATAGGGAACAGTATACAGTGGCACATAAAGATTTCATGATCCAAGCTAGAGTAGTCAGGAGGGACTCCCCAGAGGAGGTGGGCCCCAAAGGATAGCTATTGATGACCAACTGAATAGCAATCATAGAATTGCAGAATTGAAAGAAACCTTAGATACCATCTAATCTGGCCTATACCCAAATAGTATGTCCTTAATAAATGTATTTTGATTAATTGATTCCTGACCTATGGTTATCCATCCTCTGTCTAAAACTTCCAGTGAGGGGGAGCCCACTACCTCACCCACTACCCAAGGCAGCCCATTCTACTGTGGAATAGCTCTAATTGTTAGGAAATTGGTGGTGGGGAGGGCAGTGCATTTAAAAATTTGCTTCTTTCAAGAGCCCCCTGTTTCTCCTTGTCTTACTTTCGAGGCCAACGCTAACAAGTTTCATCCCTGTTATAGATGGCAGTCTTTCACATGCTTGAAGGCAGCCATCACTTAGTGGTGCTAAGTCTTCTCATTCTCAGGCTAATCATCCCCAGTTTCTTCATCCAGTCTTCATGTGGCAAGGACCCCAAGGCCTTTCTCCACCCTGGTTGCCCTCCCCAGGACAATCTGTTTTATCAATGTACTTGAACTGGGTTAGTATTATTTGAGTTGGGCTCTTAAAAGATGCATAGGAATTTCAAGTAGTTTCAAGTACCCCGTCCTCACTAAACTCTTCCAACCCCCAAGACTCCCCCTTAGTACAGTAGAAGGAAGACAGGATTTGAAGGCAGAGGACCCGAGTTTGAATTATGGCTCTTTAGTTACTACCTTTGTGATCCTTGGCAAGTCACTTAAACTCTATAGACTCTAGTCTACTTTCTTCACTTGTAAAATGAGAAGGTTAAACTAGGTGACTTTGAGAAGGACTTGGAGTCAGGAAGACCTGAAGTCAAATTTGTTCTTCTACACTTATACTCTGGGCAAGTCATTGAGACTTCTCCTAGTCTCAGTTTCCTTGTCTGTAAAATGGGGTTGAAAAGTAGCACCTATTTCACAGGATTTTTGTGAGGATCAAATGAGATCTCATATGTAAAGTGCTTTGCAAACATTAAAGCACTATGTTAATGTAATTATCATTTAAATATTCTGAAATATGAAATATGAAAGCTTTTTCAGCAACTGGCCTGATTTTCCTCCTAAGGAATGGGGAGAAGGCCACCGATATGTGTCTGCTATGCACCTCAATGTCTCATCATACTTTATTGATTCTTTAACACTGGCTTCTTTCAGCTCCAGAAATTGTGAATTACGAACCCCTTGGGCTGGAGGCTGATATGTGGTAAGTTTTCCAATGAGATCTCTTCCAGGTCAGGGTTTGCTCAGTCTTCCTTTGTACCCAGCCTTCTTAGCTCGTGAGTGTCCTCCCAAGATGTATGATCCCCTCGACCCTTTTGGGGGGTGGTTATCTATGTCACCAATACAGTTCTCTGAGTACCCATGTCTTGGGGCACTCTTCCTCCCATATTCCCTCTGTATATACCATGAACAGCTCTGAGAAGTAAGCATGAACATTGAGTCCTATTTAGAATGTGATGATGTTGCCACTTTGGTAAAAGTTAAGAGGGGGAGGAAACATAAAATTTGTCGCTTTGGACTTCAGATAAATGACCTGGAATAGGGTGCAGAGCTCACGTACCTGGCTCAGAGTAATTTATCCACCATTCCCCAAAGGTGACTAACTTCCTTACAGGTGGCTGGGAGATGCAGAGACCTGGGAACCAAAAGGGGGATGTCCAGTGGTCTTCTGAGGACCCTATGGAAGAGTCCCTTATAAGGACTGGGATTCCAACTTAGGAAGGCACTGATTCACATTGCTTTTTGTCTTGCAGGAGCATAGGGGTCATCACCTACATACTGTAAGTATCTCAGCAGGGCTCTCAGTCCTAGCTCAGGGCTCCAGGTGGGGTGGGAAAGTGGTAGCTCCTAACCCTCCTTACCCAGAGCCAATTGGGAGCCACTGAAAGAGGAATGAGCCCCAGCATCTCACCCAGTTACCCTAGGGAAGCCACTTCATACAGCAGAAGGAACACTGTCAGAGGATCTGGGTTCAGATTCCACTTTGATGCTTCCTTTCTCTGTGATCTTAGATCAGTCATTTAACCTCCATGCACCTTAGTTTCCTCATCTGTAAAATTAGAGGGTTGGACTGGTCAGCCTCCGAGGTCCCTTTCAGCCATAGACCTATGAGCTTATACCTTCCTTAGGGTCAACAAAACTTACCCCTTTAGGCCTTGGTTACCCAGGCTTCAGGGAAGCTAGGCTTAGTGGACAGAGCACCAGGTGTGGAGTCGGGAAGACCTGAGTTTAAATCTGGCCCTGACACTTACTAGTCATGTGATCCTGGGCAAGTCACTTAACCCTGTTTGCCTCAGTTTCCTCACCTAGAGAAAGATCTGGAGAAGGAAATGGCAAAATCCCAAATGGCATCATAAAGAGTTAGACACAATTGAACAACAATCAGAATTTCCATTTGGGGGGCAACTAGGTGGCCTACTAGATAGAATGCCAGTCCTGGAGTCAAGAAGACTCATCTTCCTGAGTTTAAATCTGGCCTCAGACAGTGCCTAGTTGTGTGACCCTGGGCATGTCACTTAACTCTATTTGCCTCAGTTTCCTCATCTAAAAAAAGATCTGGAGAAGGAAAGGGCAGACCATTCTAGTACCTTTGCCAAGAAAACCCCAGATTGGGTCACAAAGAGTCAGATATGACTGAAAATAACTGGATAGCAACAATTCCCAGGGTGGGGATAAAGGTAAACACCCAGGTTCAATTGCAGGGCTGCTTCCCATCCCCAGCTTTGAGGTGGGAATAGAAGAGAGACATTCAGCTCAGCCATCCCGCAGTACTTCTCACATAGCAAGGTTGTAGGTCTCATTGCTCACAAGATTGATTACTTACTGTTATCAACAGCAATTAATATTCTGCAGCCTGTCTCTGTAGTTCCTACAGTGCCCCTGAGAGCCTACTAATCAGCCTCTCCCTGACTGTCTCTAGCTCTTTCTTTAGTTACTGTCAAAATCTAAAAGTGTTGTATTTTATTTTAAAACCATGAAAGAGGGCCCCAGCACTGCAGGCTGCAAAACCATCATGTGTTAGGGAAATTGGATTGTTGTGGTCTTTATCTTTGGGCTCATTCTCCCCCATCTCTCCTCCTTATCCCCCAACTTGTCTCTCTGCTTTCTCCTCCTTCCTTGTATCTCCTGTTTTCTCTCCTCCTCCTCTCTCCACTTTATTTTTCTTTCTTCCCTTCCTGTCTTGGGGTTATAAGGTACTAGATAAATGTGGTTGGTTTTTTTTTTATCTAGCATATTCAAGTTGGAGTAATAATACTCGGTCTGTATGTGTGTATGTGTCTGCATGTACACGTGCATACACATGCATCTGATTCTGCCACGTTTAGCCGTCAGCTCTTCATGAACCCTGTTTTCTGTATTAGGATTATCATACTTGACTCCCCAAGGCAGACAGCAATCCCGTGGCTCTTTTGGCTAATAGTGGTTACAGATGGCCCGGATGATCTAAGTGAGTACCAAATCAGTCACCAAGCATTTATTAAATGCTTACCCTGTGCCAGATACTGTGTTAGGAACCTGAGATAAATCAACAAAAATGAAACAGCCGCCCCTGTGCTTTCAAGGAGTTTACAGTTTGTTGGGAGAGATAATATACACACTCAGAGTCACTGATCTGTAGAAAGACCTTGAGTTCCTATTTAAAGTAACACTGTGTCTATAGGTGTCTCACTCTGTCCCCAGGTATGATCACACACATTTATCCCTGTCTTTTCCCCTATTTATGTAATGTACTGCATCTAGGCATTTCAGAGGGATTCCTAGGAATCATCTGATGGAAATGAATGCAAGCATTACCATCTTTTTACAACTAAAGCCTGAATTCAGTTAATCAGCAAATGTTTAGCCATTATCTTAGTGCCAGAGATCTCCAGGTGGGATGGGAAAGTGTTAGCTCCTAAACTTCCCTGCCCAGAGTCAACTGGGAGCCATTGGAAGAAGAATGAGCCCCAGAGTCTCACCCAGTCACCCTAGGGAGGCAGTTTCATATAAAAGAAAGAGTACACATATGTGTGTGCACACACATACACACACACACACATACATTCCCCAAAGCCATGGGGGAATTCAGCTAAGCTGCTAGGAAGAGCACCTAGGAAGCCTTGCAGAAACACTGGGATCTCCTGTTGCTGGGGTCTGTAACCCACACTCCTCAGCTGGTTTTAATTCAACAAACATTTATATGAAATACCCAATAGGTGCAGGGCACTGTGCCAAGGGCTGGGTCTACAAAGAGGAAAACAAAACGTCCCTCCAGCAGCCTAGCCCCAGTGGGAATAATAATGTGTACTGAGATATTTAAGAATTCAGGGTTATTTGAGGAGAGAAAGAACGGTGATTACTGGGAGGGATCAGGGCAGGTTCAAGGAGGAAGGCTAGGCCTGAAAGGACATGGAAAGGTGGAAGTGATGAGGGAGCACTTTCCAGGCGTGGGGAATGACTTATGTAAATACACAGAGGGTGAAGACAGAATGCTGAGTTCAGGGAACAGCTGGTCCCTCAGTTTGACTGATGTGTGAGAGAAGTCAGAAATAAGGCTGGAAAGGCAGGTTGGAGGCCTTTTAGCGCAGGACTCAAAAGCTCACATTCTAGTAGGGGAGGCAAAGCGTAAATAGGTACATAAGGAAGGAATGCCAGGTAACTTCAGAGGTAAGACACTAGCAGATGGAAAGGGGGTGGGGGAGGGGGCAGTCCAGTAAAGGCTTCCTGCAAAAAGTCAGATTTAAACTGAGTCTGGAAGAGCTCCCTAATTATTTTAGGTCACTCCTTTGCAATTCTGGTAAGGCAATAATATATAGAGGAAAACACATTGGATTCAGAGCAAGTGGGTATTTGGTTGTTTCAATCATTTCTGACCCTTTATGAGCCCATTTGGGGTTTTTTTTGGCAACGATGCTGGAGTGGTTTGCCATCTCCTTCTCCAGCTCATTTTACAGATGAGAGGAAGCTGAGACAAACAGAGTTAAGTGACTTGCCCAGGATCATATAGCTAGTGAGTGTCTGAGGCTGGATTTGAACTCGGATTTTCCTGGCTCCAGGCCCAGAGGACAAGGGTTCAAATTCTGCCTCTGTTACTTAATGCCAGTGTGACCTTGGGGCAAATCATTTAACCTCTCTGGGCTTCAGTTTCCTCATCCATAAGAGGGTGTTGAACTATACAGTTATCCCTTCCACATCGGGGATTAGGAGCACAGTGCCCCTGTGATCTGGAAAATCCGTCTAAAATCTTTTGGCCCTCCCTTTGTACCAGAGAAGTCATGAATTATTATGGTATTATGAGATAAACTATGTTGATATTATACAATACTATACATATATTCTATGCATTTCTGAGTTTCTGAACTTTTTCTGTGTTGTTTGCTAGCCTTCAGGTGTCATCTGCGGCTTCCTCAAAACTCCCAAAAAATTCCCATTTAATTTCTTATGCCAACCCACTGCATGTGGAAGGTGCAATGGGGAAAGTCGTGATGTGGAAGGGATAACTGTATAATCCCTAAGGATCCTTCCACCTCTAAATCTTTGATCCTGTTGAAATAATATACTACACATAACACCCAAGTTAACATTTCATGCCTCTGATTATTTCAGTCATTTCACGTGTCTCCTCTGCTAGACTATAATATAAGCTCTTTGTAGGCAGGGGCTGTATTTTATGCTCTTTTATATCTCCTGTGGTATCTAGCACAGGGCTGAATACATGGTAAGTGTTCAGTTAAGAGTTATGAATTGACTGAATGGAGTGGGCAGGCTATGCAGTTTGTGATCCTGGGAGGAGTAGGAATGAGAGGAGGAAGGCATTTATGCTAATGGAACAAAACTTCCAGAGAAAATTACATTCATTTCTAGTTTAATTGAGAATCTCTGATTTCTAGTTTAATTTAATTGAGAATCTCTGAGCCTTGGTTTCCTCATCTGTAAAATTACCTCCCTCCCTCACAGGTTTGTTGTTAGGAAAGTGGTTGATAAATTTTAAAGGATTGTATAAATATGAGTTAAATGTCAGAGGCACTGAGTTGGATACCTGCCCTCAGGGAGCTATCAATCTATTGGAAGGAGGAAAAGTATATACACCAATAAGTGCAATACACTGTAAAAGTATGTACTTCAGTAGTTACAATATATCATTTGTGCCAGTTAAAAGCCATCTATGCCTTCTCACCTTGTGCCATTCTTGTCCTCGGCTTGCTTCAAACTTCTCATTAGTTGCCTCTAGTTCTATCTCATAGATTCTAATGAAGATTTCAGGCTCTCCATCTGTTATCTCCCTGGCTTACTATGTGAGTGGCCCATTTCTTTTTCCAGTCTTTTTTTTTTTCTTATTGCAAATGATTGTTAGTAATATACAAGAGCATGCTTGGATTCATTATGTATCTTCTCATTGACCTTTTCAGGTCACCTGCAATTTTAATTCTTCTGTCATTGTATTTTATGGGCAACTAGGTGGAGCATAGAGAGCCAGGCCTAGAATCAGAAAGACATGAGTTCAAATGTGCCTCAGATACTTACTAGCTTTGTGACCCTGGGCAAGTCACTTAACTCTGTTTGCCTCGGTTTTCTCATCTGTAAAATGAGCTGGAGAAGGAAATGACAAATCATTCCAGTATCTTTGCCAAGAAAATACCAAATGAGGTCATAAAGAGTAGGACATGACTAAACAATAATCATTGTATTTCGTGATTCACAGCCATATAGCCTCACTAGAAGAATATTGGTGATGAAAAACAAGCTGTTGTAGCTATGCCTATTGATTGTGCTCTTCATCTTCCTCAACGCGATCCATCCTTCTTTCCTCTTCAAATTCAATTCTAGGCCTACCTCATTGTCTGTAACACTATTATATAAAATATATATATAAAATACATGTGGTAATCTGGTCAACGTGCACTTTTCATCCACTTTGATTTTCCAGTGGGGTTGGTTAGGGCCACTTGGTTTCTTCTATCTCTTGTGTGAAAACGCATGAGAACTAAAAAGTAATATGAAAATTCCAAGGGAGAGATTTATATCACTTTTCACACACTTCAGGCTTGAAATCACTTGGTTCCTTTTTTTTTTTTTGTGCTCAGGTTAAGTGGTGCTTCACCTTTCCTTGGAGACACAAAGCAGGAAACATTGGCAAACATCACGGCGGTGAGTTATGATTTTGATGAGGAGTTCTTCAGCCAGACCAGTGAGTTAGCCAAAGACTTCATTCGGAAGCTCCTGGTTAAAGAAACAAGGTAAGATTTAAAAGAATTTAATCAGGCAGCAACCCCCTCCTTTTCATTGTACTTACTCTGCCTCGCCTCTGATTTGTTGAGTGTTGATTTGTAAGCCACCTGCATGGGACCCATAGAGGAGCGAGGGCTGTCATCACGGGCATTATGGCTGTTTTGGCAGGTGTTGGAAAATATGTTCAAGGCTGAGACTTGTCATTCAACCTGTTTACTCAAGGCTTTTTTGTAGTTGTGCTTTTCGTACTGAAATGTACATAATTGTGTATGGGTTTTGGAAGCCAGCCTGGGTTTTTCTAATGCTCATTGGTCCTGAATATATCTCGCAGTCTGTGTCAAGGTGCATTTGGAGTTTGAACAGTTTAAGATCAAGTGTCTGTATTTTCAATCAGCAAATTTAGGAAAGGAGGGTGGGGCTGAATGGTGGAGGATTTGGAGCCAGGGTGCAGAGAGAATGGGAGAAAGTGAGAGTCACCATTCTTCAGAATCCTCCAAGCTCAATCTGTATTTGTCAGGGAGGGGACAGGAGATTTCTGAGGGAGGAGGGGCGGGGCTTAGCCTTGCCTAGTAGGTCCTTGGAGTGCCCTTTCCCCAGCTAGCTTCTTACTGAAAGAGAGGGGAATCTGTATCTACCCAGTCAGCCTTTAAGGTTTGCAGAATGCTTTATAGATGTCATTACCTCACTGGATCTAAACTGTAGGAAAACTGTTAAGCATGATAGATCATTCTGTGAACTGCCACATGACTGGCATAGTTTGGTAACACCCAGAGCAACCTCAGCTGAACTTCATGGTTTGTCCCTAGTTGTAATCAGGGGTGTTTTGGAGCCAGCCCAAACTGACTCAAGAGTTAAATTTCCAGCATGAGCATTTACACATTGGAATCAGCAAAAGCTACAAATCAGGGCTCATTCTATTGTTTTTGTTAATAGTCTAGACTTAAAGAAAGTGATGGGAAAATGTTAATAATCCTAGTTGAATTTAAAAGTGTGCCCTGAGCACTTTTTCCTCCTCTAAGAACCAATCGTTAAACTTTTTAAAAAAAAATTGGAGGCAGTGAGGTTAAGTGACTTGACCAGGATCGCCAGCTAGTAATTGTCTGATGCCAGATTTGAACTTGGGTCCTCCTGACTCCAGAGCCACTGCTCTATCCATTGAACCACCTAGCCACCCTTCAATTGTTAAACATTTACTATCACATCCATGGCTGTAGTTGTAGTGGAGTATGTACCTGGTCTCTTTTCTTGGGTCTCTCCCTGTCCCTCAGCACAAGCTGTCAAAGTTAGATCTGTATTGGTGTCTGGAAACTTTATGTGAAGGCATCAAGTTCAAGGGTTAAATTGTAGCTACCACACGACTGTAGTTCTGAACAAACAGCTGTGACTACACAGAGACTGCTCCAGTAATATAGAAGGATAGGGAAATAGAGCTGTCCTGAAAGTCTCTCGTTTCTGATACATTAACTCATCACTGACCTAGAGTTGGGAGTATTGATCAATTAATCAAGAAATATTTATTAAGTGCCCAGTTTGTTCCAGGCACTGGGGCTACAGTGACAAAAGTGAATAGTTCCTGTCCTCATGGAGCTTACATTTTATCACAGGAATTTGCATTCTAGCAGATGTAGTAGAAGGAGCATTTGGAGTTAGAGACATTGGGGTCAAATCTCATCTCTGCTACTTATTACCTATTTGTGACCTTCAACAAGTCACCTGTGCTCTGTAAGCCTTAGCTTTCCCACTTGTAAAGTGAGAGGGTGGAACCCAATAATGTCTAGGTCCCTTCTTATTCTATATCACATGATACTGGCTTCACTAGCCATTCTTCTAGTCTTATTCTTTGTTTTCTTGAGTTGTGTTGGGACAAATTCATTAAAAGCCAGTGTGGGTACTTGAATATAATCCAGTCAGGAAAATGTTTAATAGAAAGAGCATTGGATCTTTGAAGCCAGAAAACCTGCGTTTAGATGCTGATTCCACCACTTACTGCCTGGAGTCATATGGATGGTGTCTGGAACATTAGAGTAGTCTAATGGAACTCCCTTTCCAAAAGGAATGGTGAGATTGATTTTTTTTTTGAGAGTTCTCAGGACAAGAAGTGAAAATCAGGGTAGAATACCTTCTTGGAGGTTGAGTGAGAGATAATCTGGATGAAAAAGTGTGATCCTAGGGAATTCAAAACCAAGCACTTTAGCTCCTCTCAGGCAGTCTGGTTTGGAGCAAAGAGAAACAGCAGCAGCAGCAGCAGCGGTGCCAGAGCAAGTCACAAGTCAGTAGGCCTCAGTTTTTTCATCTATAGAATAAGATTATTGGACCAGATGATCCCTAATTTCCCTTCAAGCCCTAAATTCTGTTATTCATTGAACAAACATCAGAGGGATATAGAAAAGCCTTTGACTTCTGGAAGAGCCTGGGAAAAAGCACCAGATTTGGTGTTTATGGCCTGTCCAGCTGATAGGAGCTATGGCGGGCTGAGAACTAAACAAACTTCCTCCACTATGAGACCAAGTTGGAGAATTTAAGAACACATTAATAGCTGCCTTTTTTTTTAAGCTGGGAGCTTTTTCTCAGAATGCATGGCACACTCAGAGCCCCTAAAGGCTTTTATCCTGCATTATGTTCCCCAGCATTTTGATTATCAGGGCTCTAGTTGACCAGAGTTCAAATTTGACCTCACACATTTAGTAGCTGTGTGACCCAGGGCAAGTCACTTAACCACTGGAGGAGGAAATGGCAAACCACACCAATATCCTTGCCAAGAAAACCCCATAGACAGTATAGGTTTGCTGTGGTTCATGGAGTCATGAAGAGTCTGACACGACTCAACGAATGAACGACAGTTGAAAGGGGCAAAATTTAATTCTTGTGAACGTTAGGAGGGGAGCGTATTGTAAGCAGCTACTTTCCTCATGAAGTATTTTTGTCCCTTCTTCAGGAAACGACTCACCATCCAGGAAGCACTCACTCATCCCTGGATCACGGTAAGAACAGATGTGGTGCACCAGTGCAGGTGATGCTTTTTTTTCAGTGTGTGAACTTGAACTCATCTTGCTCAGTTACCAGAGTCAGAGTGTTGCCCAAGATTAAAAGACACCCTTTTCCCCACTCAGAATCCATTGCTTCCTTGTCTGATATGCCATCTAGCACCAAACTTTCCTGCGCTGTACTCAACCCTAGTGAGTGTTAGACACCAGCTAACCAGACTGCCGTAATTTATTCCAATGAGCTGATGCTAATTTAAACTACTTTGCTTGATTCATTGAAGGTTCTGAACCTCATTTGGAGGGAAAAGAGCAAGACAAATGGGAACCTCCTGGTTTGGGGCCACCTCATAGAGAGTCATGGACAGGAAGAGCTTAGGGTCATCTTTCCTTCTTAAAGTAAAAAGATCAGTGTTCCATAATCATCCTAATACCAACTCCAGTTTTTAAAAAAATGATCTACATTTCACACCTCATCCCAGAAGTTTGACATATCTGAAACCTACAGCATACTTCTTTTCCTTTCCCCTCTCTTTCCTGACACAAACTGACTGCCCTGGCCTCCTTCAGGTAGTAAGAAGCATGTATCTGCAAAGGTAGATGAGAGAAGACTATAGGAAGTAGTGTTTCTGGACTGAAGACTGAAGGAGGAAACCCAGGCAGGCCTTGGTCATTGCAGAAACGGCTTGGCCTATTGTCATTCCTTTCTCTCCTTCCCTTTTTTTGTTCTGCCCCCAAAGGTTCTGGCCCTTTGTGTGATGGGGATTCCTATCCATTACCTTTGTGGTCACCCTTCCAGCTACTCTTTGTTCAGAAAGAACTACGTTGTAGCAAAGTAGAAAGAGAAATGAGTTGGGAGTGTTGGGAGTGTTGGAAGAGTATGTCAAATGCAGTCCTTCTTATCTTTGACATAAATTAAGTGTGTGCTAGAAAGCAAGTCACTCACCTCTATAGAATTCATTTTCCTCATCTGTAAAATGAGATGGTTTCCAAGTCCCCTTGCAGCTATAACCTTCTATGATTCTGTAATTAATGATTATGCTGGCATCTAGCAACCATGGTAAAGTCCTAAAGGACATTCTAGGAAAGGGTACTTACTTCCCATTACTAAAGCCTTCCTAGCCTCATACTTAGATCCCTAGAAGTCATCTAGGTTTATGCTTGTGGTCTACAGCAGAATGAAAATATGGCTGAGAGTAAGGGCATCTCAGTACTCAAGATGGCAGGTCGAATCAAAATTGTTTCTAAGTTTCTCTGAGCTCCAGGGTGGTGACACACCCTGTGAACTTCCAGGGTGCATCCTGTCTTCTTCCTTCATTATGTCCTTCCTGTGAGAGGTGTCTCTTAAAGCTGGAAGGGAGGATGGTGTATAGAGGACCAGCTCTGGAGTCAGGAGGACCTGAGTTCAAATCTAGCCTCAGACACTTACTAGCTGTGTGACCCTGGGCAAGTCACTTCACCCTGTTTGTCTCAGTTTCCTCATCTGTAAAATGAGCTAGAGAAGGAAATAGCAAACCATTGCAGGAGGGGAGGATAGAGAGGACACAATGAAGGAAAGAGAATCAGTCTTGAAGTCACATGGTTTACATTCCAGACCTAGTTCTGACTCTTTCTAGCTGTAAGGTCCTGTGAATTTTCTTTAACTCTGAATCTCACTTTTCTCATCTTGAAAATAATACTTGTATTACCTGTGTCACAGGGCTATTGTAGGAAAAGCACTTTGTAAACTGTGAAGTTCTATATAAATATGGTAGGAATTGTGAAGGATATAAAGAAATGTAAGGGATAGTCTGTATCTTCAAGTAGCTTGCTATGGAATGGTAGGGTGCTCTGGGCTGGGCCTGACTTAGGCCCATCCCCTAGGAGTTTAGGTTTTATATTGATACAAAATGAGACCCAGCATAGGTCATTCAACAGTTTAAAAAAAAAAGAGAGAGAGAGATTTTGCTTAGCTACATAGCAAGAGAAGAATATTCAATAAGGAAAGGATTGAAGAAGCCTGGAGTTACTTCAGTTTAGTAAAGCTCCCTTAACTGAATTGCTCATTTTGCACCCAGGCAATGGGGAAATTATGTCAACCATCTTAGTTCCTAGGGCAACCAAGTCTCAAGGAAGGTCATAATGCCTTTTAAGGAAAACCTAGTCTGACTTGCATGGGGGGAGAGGTTAAGATATTGTTCCTTCTTCATGGGAGGAAAAGACATGCACATAAAAGTGTAAGATTTCTTCAATATTTCATGGCTCTATAATTTTACTTTTGTGGGTACCCCTTTCAGATAGAAACAGGGGCCACTAAAATAATGCATAAGGATTCCTAGAAGTACACATTGACTTTGAAAACTACATATTAACCTTATCTATGTTGTATTACATTTTTGCTTATTTTGTTAAATATTTTCCAATTACATTTTAATCTGATTCAGGCTTAGCGGAATGGATGATCTTTGACTGAAGCCAGAAAAAAAAATTATCACCCAGAGGCTAGGCTTCAATATGGCCAGAGGCCATATTCAGCTTAGCTGGTTTTTAGATTGCACTGAGCCATCTTTGAAATCTCTTCATCTTCGACAGCTCTGTCAAAGCTTGTACCTTATTGGCATATCCTAAAGTTCTCCAGGATCACCTCCAAACTGCATTGAAACATTAGAGTATAACTATTGTTGTTATTATTGAGTTGTTTCAGTCATGTCCAGTTCTTTGTGACCTCATTTGAGGTTTTCTTGAGGAAAATATTAGAGTGGTTTGCCATTTCCTTCTCCAGCTCATTTTACTGATGAGGAAACTGAGGTAAACAGGGTTAAGTGATTTACCCAGGACCACACAGCTAGTAAGTGTCTGAGGCTAGATTTGAACACAGGAAGGTAAGTCTTTCTGACTTCAGGCCTGGCACTCTATCGACTGTGCCACCTAGCTGCCCTTGGAGAAAGACCAATCAGCAGTAATACAAGTCAGTGTGTGTGCCAAATGGGTAACAGAAGACAGTAAGTGTTATGGAAGTTTGTGGGAGCCAGAATAGTTAGGGAAAGTTTCATGGCAGAGGTAGTTTTGGGGCTGGTCCTTAAAAGATAGAGGTAGGATTTTGAAAAGTTTTAAGGAGAAATAGAGCATTCCAGGGCAAGGCAAATGTGGAGGGAATTTTTTGAGGTAGTCACCTTTCCCATCCAGCAAGCTGCTTTGTTTTTGTTACGTGGCTGTGCATATACAAGGTGCCACCGTGTATATGTGTATATAATAGCTATTCTTTCTGATCCAACCCAAATCTGACTATTCATCTTATGATTCAATTCAATCCAATCAACATCTATTAAATGGATGCTAAGTATGAGTCTGAGACGTGAGGTATTGTAGTGGATAGAGAACCTATCCCAAAACCAGGAACACCTAGGTTCAAGTCCTGACGCTATCTCTTAATGAATAGGCAGAACTCTTAAGAACATCAGTTTCAGAGGAAGTGTCAACCAGTATGGGTAAAAGGAGTTTCCTCACCCTGGTGTTCCCTATACTAATGTAGTCACTGGTCCAGTCTTTATCCCTAAGTACAAGGTGTTAGGCACTAGGTATCCAGGGAGAAAATAAAGCAAAATAGCCCCTGCCCTCAAGGAGCTTACATTCTACTGGATACCCTTGAAAGAGCTGTGTTTGCCCTGATTCTTTAATGGGTTGTTGCCTTCTAACGGTAGGCTGCTTGCTTGTATGAGCCTCTCATGATTGAGTTTGCGGTCTTTGCATGACCATAAGAACTGACTGGTCCTGGGACCACATGTGAAACTGAACCACTGGTAGTACTGGCGCCATTTTGTGCGTGCCTGGGGGAGGGTCCTGCTTACTCTCTAGGATGACCTTTTCTCCCTTGAAATCAATATGCAGGGCTTGCCGTCCCCCTCCCTATCCTCAGATGCACTCTTTATTCCTTTCCATTTGGTCTTGGGGACCTCCCAGTGGTTACCACTCCCCCTTCCTTTCTCAGAGTCTATTGCATGCAGGGAATGCTGAAGAATGCAAGTCCTTGCTCTGCCTTGTGCAACAGTCTCCCTCTATGTGCCCAATTAATACTCTGGTTCTTCTGTCCAAATGCTCACCAGTTGAAAGGAGAGGCCAAAGCCCCAGAACATAAGAAGACAGAGCCCCCCCAGGTGAAGACCAAGCGCTTGAGAGAATACACCATGAAGTGCCACTCCAGCATGCCCCGCAACAACACCTATGTCAACTTTGAGCGCTTCGCCCGTGTGGTGGAAGACGTGGCTGAGGCTGAGCATGGCTGCAGTGAGCTGGCCTCTGCCCACGACTCTCTCCAGGATGATGTGGAGGCTCTGGTGTCCATCTATAACGAGAAGGAAGCCTGGTACAGAGAGGAGAGTGAAAACACTCGCTACAGCCTTTCCCAGCTCAAGTATGAGTACCGCAAGGTGGAGGCCATGAAAAAGACCCTCCAGGAAGACATCCGGACGGTGGCCTCCGACCTGGGAAGTGTTGCTGGGAAATATGCCCAGCTTGGGGCTCAGTATGAATCTCTCAGGCAGGAGCTTTCTGAGGACCTAAAGTGGATCCAAGAGCTCATGAGCGATTTCCAGCAAGAGAGTGGCAGTGAAGGCAGTCTTGGCTCTGTTTTCAAGAGAGATGCGAATGAGTCACTAATGGAACTGTTAAACAGGTCTTGCAGTGAGGACTTCCTTGCAGGTTTGAAGCTCAGAGTCACAGAGTCCAGCCAGTGATGGGGCCTAATTGGTTTGTCAAAGCACATTCTCTATTGTCTTACTGCCGGGATGCTCACTGCCATGGAAAGGAATTGTTCCAGCCAGTCTTCCATCCCCTCCCTTTCTTCTGCCCCTCTAGCCCCTTCAAGCTGGCCTTCTCACCCTAGCATTGAATCTGAAATTGCAGGTCCTAATTAGTCATGCAAATTGTGTTCCTTCTCCCCCACTCCCCAAATACATGTCCCACTCCTTTTCGGCACACAATGGAAGAACAATGTTTCATTAGGGCACAGATGAGGCAGCTTCAAAAGGATGAGAGAGTGGATGTCCCTCACCGCAAAGCCATGAGGAATGCCATGTCCTTGGCCATGTTGTGTTTACCACTCACTCATCTCACAGTTTCTAGATGTTAGCCTGTGTTGCCAATACTTGTGGGGTACGTGGTGCTTATTTACTCTCTGTGGGAGCTCAGAACGAAGTAGTCTGGAGAAAAGAATGATGCCCCATATTTGGATGGCATTCCTAACTTTTTGCAGAACCCCCTTTCAGAACCTCCCTCAGCTCTCCAAGAACCCTGTGAAGTAGAAAGAGGAGCAGCTGTCATTATGCCTTTGTGACAGATGAGGAGTAGGAGGTCAACCCAGAGCTCCCAAGCCCTAGCATTCTAAAAGTCAATCAGTAAACAAACATTTATTGAGCACTTACTGTGTGCCAAGCACTATACTGAGGGGAGGGCAGGATGAGGGCCTAGAGAATAGAAGAATGCAAAGAAAGACTCTGTTCTAAGTTGGAAGAGGAAGAAAAAGGCAAAGAAAGGCAAAAAACAGTCTCTGCTCTTAAGAAGCTTTTTTATTTTATTCTAATGGGGGAGGTAATGCTCCTTTAAATAAGTGCATAGAATCTATAAGTCAATAAACAAACATTTATTGAGCACTTACTGTGTGCCAAGCACTGTACTAAGTTGGAGAGGGAGGAGGAATAGGAATGCAAAGAAAGGCAAAGCAGTTTCTGGGAGCTTATATATTCTAATTGGGGAGGTAACATTCATTCAAATAGGTATTCAAATAGAAACAGTAGATCAGCTAACCTACATTTATTAAGTGCTCCCTAGCTAAGGGCTAAGGATACCAAAAAAGGGGAAAAAATAGCCCCCCCCCACAGAGCATACAGCCAGAATATTGGCATATATTTTCCCAGGGGAATTTGAATGTTTTGGAAGATTCATCATCCTTGTAGGTCACTGCCCAAGAACTGTTCATGCCAAATTCATTGCTACTCCTGTGTGCACCGAAACAACAAGGCAGGTCAGTAAGCATTTATTAAGCGCTTACTGTGCGCCAGGCATTGTACTACAGTCTGGAGATACAAAGAAAGGCAAAACAACAGTCCTCACACTCAAGGAGCTCACCTTCTAATGGGGGACTCAATATGCATACAAGATGTATATAGTGTAGATTTGAGATAACTTTGGAAGGCAGACATTGGGTGGGGCCAGAACCAGGCTTCTTTGGGAAGGTGGGAATTGAGCGGAACCTTGAGGGAAGCCAGGAGTCAGACATGAGGGAGTACATTTCAAGCACGGGGACAAGCTCTGAAAAGGCCCAGGGACAGGAGATGAGGATCTTATGGGAGGAACTAGCCAGAAGGCCAGTGTGTCACTGGATTGTAGAGACTGAGTTGGAGAGTAAAGTGTGGGGCCCCATATTACTGGCCTGTAAGATGAGGTTAGGAAGGAAATAGTGGGTTAAGTAATATTTGGCCCTTATCTTTTCCTTCACGCTCGGTCCTTGAACTAGCTCATAGTCCCAAAGTTCAGCAGAAGACCAGACCTAAGAAGGTAAAGTTCCCCTCTTCTTGTTCATAGGGACCTATAGTTCTTTCTGCTCTGAGAATTTCACAGTAAATTTTGTGGTCCACAACTCTAGAAACCTTGGGAATCATTGTAATGAATAGTGCCTTGGGACAACTGGGATTATACTGGGGCTAGTGGGAGATGAATCCAGAGTCAAGAGAGCTGGGTTCCAATCCTGCTCCTGGGCAAATCACTTCACTTCTCTCCAGGATCTTTGTCTGTAAAATGGGGTAATAATACCTCCATTACCTACTTTACAGGTCTGTTTATGAGGAAAGCGTCTTGTAAACCTTAAGGTTCAATATAGCTACTTAATAACTATTTGTTGATTGATTATCTAAATGTGAGTTATTATGATTTTCGCCTTCATGACCTGACATGATGACCATAGCACCTAGAGGTCTGATGCCCTTATGTCCCAGATAGAGTGGATCTTTCAGTCAACTGTTAATTAGGTATCTATTACATGCAAAGCACTTTGTAGCGTAGATTACTGAGGAAATAAGATTTGCACATGGGAACACTGGCATCAATGCCAGGCAGTAGCTAAATGACAGGTGCCAAATGAGTCAGACAATAAGTGCTAGAATAGGATTAATTCACCCAACAGAATTTTAATCCTGCTAAGTCCAGTGTAACTAACAACAAACCAAAAAAAAATCTAATAGGGAACAGAATCTCAAACTTGGAAGAGATTACAGAGGCTAAGGAGTCCAACCCATACTGAACAGGAGTCACCTCTGGACTATCCTCAGTGGTCATCCAGCCTTTGTTTTAAGGCTTCAGGTAACGGGGAACCTGCTGCTTCCTGAAACAGCTTGTTCTACCTTTGGATGGTGCTAACCATTAGGAAGATTTTCCTTACACAAGCCTTAACCTGTGCCTCTAAAACCACTATCCATCTCTCTAATCCGCCTCTCTAGACTTGGCCTCTGGGGCCAAGTAGAACAGAATCTGCAGTACTCTCTTATATGTGACAGCTCTTCAATCTGATAATAATAATAATTATGATATCTGATGTATATATGATATATTATTAAGGTTTGCACAGTACTTTGCAGATTCAGGGCCTAAAACTATACTAAGACTTTTGAGACACCCTGAGCTATTGCATCTGATCTTCACAGCAGCCCTGTGAGCCCTGCTTTTCCTCCTCTCCTCCTCACCCTCCCCCAAGTCTTCTTTTCTCCAAGCTAAATATCCCTCCTTTTTTCATCTAATCCTCATTTGGCACGCTATTGAGACCTTCACTATCCTGGATGCCCATCTCTGATGGTCTTCAGTTTATTTAGGAAGGATGCTCTTTCTAAAACATGGTACCCAGAACTGGCCATAACAGTCTAGGTGTGATTTGATTAGAGTATAGCACAATTTTGTTGTTGTTCAGTCATTTCAGTAGTGATCCCATTTGAGGTTTTCTTGGCAGAGATACTGGAGTGGTTTGCCATTTCCTCCTCCAGCTCATTTTATAGACAGGGAAACCAAGGCAAACAGGGTTAAGTGACTTGCCCAGGGTCAGGCTGGATTTGAACTTACAAAGATGAGTCTCTCCACTCTAGATTCTCTGTTTCAAAATACAGAGCTCTTTCTACTGCTCTCTGCTGCTCTGAGAGACAATACAATCTTATGGAAAGAATCCTGGACTTGGAGACAAGAAAGACCTAGGTTCAAATCATGCCTCTGAAAGTTAATATTGGATAACCATGGGCAAGTTTTGCTTAACTACACTGAACCACAGCGACCTCATCCATCAAATGGGAATGATATCAGTCACATCCTTAGCTCAGAGGGTTGTTGTGGGGATCAAATGAGGTAATGTATGTAGGAACCAGTTACTCTCTAACCTCTCATTTTAAAAAGGAGGAAACCATGACCCAGAAAGGTGAAGTCATTTTTCTAGGGTCACACAACTGGTTAGCTATCTCTTGACTCCCAGTCAGCAGTATGCTAGTAAATGTTTAACAGCTGTCTCTGAAAAAAAAAAACTGTAGGTAAGACACACTTTTAAGATTGATTTCCATCATTAACATTTTTCCATCACTTTCTTAAGTCTGCACAATCAACAAAGTAGTCGATCAAACCTTGATTTGTAGTGTTTGCCGATTTCTACGGCATAAATTCTCACACTGAAAAATTGACAGTTGGTTTTGGGGACTGGTACACGCTGGCTTCAGCTCCCAGACCAGTGGTGGATTGGACTTGGGTTTGCTTTTTTTCTTCATCCGTAGAACTGCCCCCTTTGTGCTCACATCCTAGCACTGGTGACCTCTTCACCATTTCACAAGGAATAACCTTCAGCCACATCGGATGACCACGATTAGGAACCAAATAATCTTGAGCCCCGTAGCACATGGGGCCTTGGAACAGATCGCTGTCTTTCAGGAAACTCAAAGGAGATAAGATGGAAGTCTCTTTGACTCATTGGTGATCAAGCACTCCCAACTGGCTGAGCTAAAGAAGGCCTCTGCCTGAAGCCTGAAGGATTCAGGAAACAATGTGGAGTGAATAGCTGGAAAGAGCTGGCTGTAATTGTGTTCTGAGTACATCTCCTGGCAAGTAACAACTGCAGCTGAATGAGGGCAAAGATTATAGGACAGAAAGCTGGAGAGCACACTCTGGACTAGAAAACTTCTTGCTGTCTTTCTTGAGATGGAAGAGACTATTTGGAGTTAAGGTTGGTAGCCCTCTGATGGCTGCTTCCCTCTCTGAAATCACTGAAGACTTGTCACTTTCAGAAATGTTAAGGAAGAGCCTGTCCTAGCAGTGTTTGGTGTGTAAATGCCCTTGTAAAGAATTTCATTTTTTAACTGTGATTCCTCAGTTTGCTGTATAAATTCTAATTTTCACATAGAGTCTAGTGTTGTTTTCTTGAAGATAGACACACTTGTGAAATCCCAGATCTTATCTTAGCCATGAGTTTCAGCTCTCTCACCCTTTCCCAAGGACTGCTAACAGGCTTGAGTAGTCTGGTTGGAGTCTGCACTTTTCTTCCTGAGCCCCGCTGGAGGTCTTAATGAGGGGTGACAAGACCGTAAGACACAGGATTGAGCAGTGAGGGAGACATGAGGGGATAGGGAGTAACCTTTCAAACGCTAGGATTGAAGTGGTTAGCGCTACACCATTTCTAAGGACAGCTTTTATTACTATGTTCTGATCTACCTTCCAAGGCAAAGTTAGCACTCAGGGATTTAAAAACAGGAGTGAACAATTGATTGGAAGAGGCCAGGAAGTCACTGATTTATATAATTCTCTCTCTCTCTCTCTCTCTCTCTCTCTCTCTCTCTCTCTCTCTCTCTCTCTCTCTCTCTCTCTCTCTCCCCTTTTCCCTCCCTCCCTTCCCCCCTTCCTCTCTCCCCTCCTCCTTCCCTCTCTCCCCTCCACTAGCCCCCTCTCCCAACTCAGCAGATATCCCTTCATTAAAAATAATTTAGCGATTCCCTGATTCCTCACTTAAGTGAAGAACTCCCACAATGGGGGCAGAATGTCCTTAATACCTTACATGGTAGTAAGCCTGCTAGCCCTCTTGTAGTGAGGATTCATTGGAATTTTGCAGATCAACCAGGGATTTTGCTGTGGGGATGTACTAAAGGAGTACAGAACCTCTCAGAATGGAGGGGCCAAGCTGCTGGCCAAAGAAGGAAGCAAAAAAAGGATAACAAGAAGGTTTCTCCATCCCACTCACTCCCCCACCCCTGCCAAAATTTCTCCCAGAACCCCTTTCCCCCCTAATCAGAGATTTATTTGGCTTTTTGTGTTGCCCTGGTAAGGTACAAACATCCCATGATCAGGACAAAAGGGACCTGGGTGACTAAGGCAGAGATTGCTGCAGATCTCTTCTCTGTGCTTTCTTTTATATTGATTTTGATGCTGATAAATTTTAACTGGTGAGCTTCCGAGCTAGCATATGTATGTCACTTTTAAGGTTTGTAGAAATCTTCACAGTATTGTTTCACGTAGTTCTCATATCAACTTTGGCTGCTGTTGAATTGTTTCAGTCATTTCCAACTCTCCATGACCCCATTTGGGGTTTTCTTAGCAAAGATACTGGAGGGGGTTGCCATTTCCTTCTCCAACTCATTTTATAGATGAGGAAACTGAGGCGAACAGAGTTAAGTGACTTGTCCAGGGTC